TACCCAAGGTTCAGGCACTGATGCTGAGTCATTATGTATTAACTTTATCGCAGCCTGGACCAAGAGGGGCTCAGACACTGGCCCACCGATGCAGCAGGCTAACCATGGGAGTACAGTATGAATGCAACTGAATTCACACCACACTGCATCCTTGAGAGTCAAATACAGCCAGATCCCCAACATAAATTGGAGGTGAGAATCAATGGGGAGACATTTACAGGGTGGTGGATCACCAGCACTGTTCATACCTTAGAACCTGCATGTTGTACCCAGAGCAGGTGTTGACAGGCAGGCCCCTGTGTGAAGGTCCCTGCCATGAACCCCATCATTCTGCCTGTGGCCCATGTCATTAGAGACACCAAAGAAGGTTCTGGGAGCCTGACAATGGGGATACTGGAGGATATTCCATTTTGATGTATTTGGAAGAGTTATTGCAGGGTGGAGCCCAAAGAGCTCAGGTGTAAATCCACTAGAGCCAGGCCCCATGGCCAAAGGGTCTACTCACAGATATCCTCCAACAAGATAGCAGAGCCAGCACTAAGCATGGCAGTGTCCAGAACTCCATGTGGAAGTGTGGGAAACCAAGGCACAGATGAAAGTGCTATGAATCCAAACGCCACAGGGAGATGGGACACTCAGGCTGCTAAGGGATACTGCCAACCATACAATGCCTGCCAGGGAGTTGGAAAAGCCCAAGGTAAGTGTTAAGCCACTGCTTAGGGGAATACAAAGCAAGAAGTAGCCAGGAAGTAAGGGGAAGGTCTGTGACGGGGCTCCACTCACCACACTGGCACCTCCTGCTGGCCATCTTGGGGATTAGCTCCACAGGTCAGTACACCCTCTCCTGATGGTGCCTCGCCGCTGTCACATCCACTCACATTACTCCAAGGACTGTGGCATCCTCTTAATGACACAGCCCTCTGTCACTGTCACCATCTCTACTCCCCCCTTCCAGGGCATCTACAATCAACTGTACAGCCACTTCACCAGAGGCAAATGGGTGGGATCTTGGCCCATCCACTGTTCTGGGTTCCAGACCAGGGACTCTCTGAACCACAATCATCTACTGCATTCCTTTGACTTCACCACCACTGCATTTCCCTGGGCCACTTCCCCACAGCCACAGCATCCTACTCAGTCTCAGCAGCCCATCTGGAGCTCCTTCTATACTCCATGGTCCCTGCCTGCACTGCTCTGTCCAAGATGTTACAGGGCTGCAGGACACAGTCTTCTCTCCTCAAGCTCCCAGCAGAGACTAACTAACTGACTTTGGCCCTGCAGCTCCTTTTATGTGAGCCCACTGGGCCCTGATTGACTGCTCCTTGCAGTCTCTCTCCTATTGGTTGCTTCCCGCACAGCCTCGCTAGGGCTCTATTAACCCCTTCCCTGCCAATGTGGGGTGAACATCCAATCACAAAATCTCCCTCTATCTATAATTGTATAATTGGGAAGCACGCTGTTGAGGGTGCTGCTGAGGGTGGTTCCTTGGTTGAGGGCATAGAGAATTCTCTGGTATTAGTTTTGCCCCCTCCCTCCAGTCTCTCTGAAGTTCCCCCCTTGAGGTCAGTAGTGACTCTGATGCGCAGATGACGAACTCACAGATTCTTTGGGTCCTGAACATCCTGAGGGGGGAAAATATCCTGGACACCATTGATAGGTTTCTGGCTGAGTCAAAAGGGAAATTGGTTTCCTGAACTTAATCTGTTTGTGTTGTCATGTAACTGCCTCTATGCTGTAGCATACGTATATTACATTGGATCCTCCTCCACTCTTTTCAGAAAAAGATCAGAAGGTTCATTTGGACTTTTTCTTGGCTGTCTGAGGCAGAATATTTTGTATCTTCCCCATTGTGGAAGGGGGTCTCATTGATCCTTTGACTAGAGTTGCTACTTTTCAGTTACTGTCTCTGTAGCAGCTGTTGTTTGGGGATGAATCTGTTCCTTGGAAGCCATTGGCCTTTGCTTTTATTCAAAGGGTAGGTGGTTTGGGTTTTGATCAGGAATTTATTTTATTGGATCCTGGGTGCCTCAGTTTTAGGGTGACCAGATAGCAACTGTGAAAAAACGGGACAAGGGGTGGGAGGTAATAGGTGCCTATATAAGAAAAAGTCCCAAAAAAACGGGACTGTCCCTATAAAAACGGGACATCTGGTCACCCTACTCAGTTTTGAGGTGTTTCCTGGTTTTATTAAAGCCTTTTTAACACGTGGAGATCTTTCAAGCCGAGGCTGCAGGATAGATGGCTGGAGTTCCCAGGGTTGCTTGTTGAACCCACTGTTTATAATTCTGCCATGAGGATTCCTAGTCTTGTTTCTAGGAGTCTTTTCTTTTCCCTTATTGCAGTAGGTATAACAAAACTGGTTCATTTAATTGATTTTACTAATTTTACTTGGGTCTCAGCAGATATCTTGGCTGTCAAGCTTGGTTTTCATTCTGTTCACTGGTATTGTCTTTTTGTTTTTAAATCAGAGGTGGAATCAGCTGTTCCTACGGGCAGTATTGCCAGTCTGGGCATTTGCCTCCTTCAGTGAGCCATTCCTGATTATACTTATGCTTCTGTTTTCTTGCCTATTGTTCCTGCTGTGGACTGGGATGTTGACAAGTCTGGCAGCTTGCTTGCCTGGGAGGGGGTCTTCAGAATTTATTTTTCATAGCCTAGGCCATGTGTCATTGTATATGCTTTTGGTAAAGATTCATCATTTTCAAATGCTTGTTGATTATCCCAATATGGTATGGAGAAGACAGCTTTTGATGACGGACTCCATCCATTCAGCCTGGCGAACTGTATACAAGCCTCCGATTGCAAAGAGGATGGATGATCTCCAAGGGAGAATTCTTCACGGGGCTTTTGCTTATTCATCTTGTGCTTATTCATCGGTTGACTGTGGAGGTGTCCGTGTCATGTCCTTTTTGTGACATGGAAGAGACTTGTTTTCATATGTTTCTTACCTGTCCCAGGTTACAGCCATTATTTGTTTTACTTCAGGGTATTTTTTTGGTTATTGTCTCAATATTTTCTCCTAGCTGTATTTATTTTTACTGTTAAGTATAAGTTCACAAATAGATCTGTGGTATGCCTGGCAAACTTTATTTTGGGTCAAGCGAAGAGGGCCATTTAAAAAGTAAACAATGTAAATTATTTACTACAGCGGTTGCCAAAGTTCTTTGTTGGTTTTTTTTTAGATTTGTATTGGTTTTACACCTTCTTTTGGAGTTTAGATAGAATACACTTATAAGCAATTTGGATCGATTTATTCAGTGGTAGACTATTGGAAATGCACTTTACTGTTGGGGTTGGGCAATTATTTTTGAATTTGTAATGTATTTTCTTGGTTTTACTGCGTTTCAGTACTGATTTAATTAAAAGTGTTTTTAAAGTAAAAAAGAACAGGAGTACTTGTGGCACCTTAGAGACTAACAAATTTATTAGAGCATAAGCTTTCATGGGCTACAGCCCACTTCTTCGGATGCATATAGAATGGAACATATATTGAGAAGATATATATACACACATACAGAGAGAGCATGAACAGGTGGGAGTTGTCTTACCAACTCTGAGAGGCCAATTAAGTAGAAAAAAAAAACTTTTGAAGTGATAATCAAGATAGCCCAGTACAGACAGTTTGATAAGAAGTGTGAGCTTACAAGGGGAGATAGATTCAATGTTTGTAATGGTTCAGCCAACTCCCACCTGTTCATGCTCTCTGTATGTGTGTATATATATATCTCCTCAATATATGTTCCATTCTATATGCATCTGAAGAAGTGGGCTGCAGACCACGAAAGCTTATGCTCTAATAAATTTGTTAGTCTCTAAGGTGCCACAAGTACTCCTGTTCTTTTTGCGGATACAGACTAACATGGCTGCTACTCTGAAACCTGTCATTATTTAAAGTCAAAGTCTCTCTGAATCAGCCTGTCTCCCTAGGCAGCTGCTTACAAGTGATCCCTTTTTCTCCCCCTGAGAGAAGCTTTTTAACGCTTTAGTGTTCTTTTGATCTCTAGCCTCCCAGCTTTGGCAACATAAAGCTTGCAACTTATATGAGACCAGAGACGGGATTCTTGAAGCTAACAGCTTGACCCATTGTCTTTCAAGTGTGTGTTGGGATAGCCTTAGCTAAATCTCTTGTTGCTTTCCTGTTTGTTCTTCCCATGGCCCCCTTTTAAGTAAGATCAAAACAATCATACAAGAAATTCTAATAACCTCCATAGTAATACAGTAACTTTATCTCACTGACTGGGTCACTTACAGTAGTCTTACCTTTATTACAGATCAGTACTCATACATTAATACATAGCAATTGCAAGCCTGTCACATCTCCCTCTTTCCAGAATGGACACAGCGGTACCCTACGGACATCCATGCATGCCCCAAATACCTCAAATTCCAGTACCAGTCTCCTCCCCATTGATCCCATGGGAGGGGTACATATGAACAGACTCCATGTGCACATATGTTCTTGTCAACCCAGTACATCTGATCATGAGTAGGGTGACCAGACAGCAAGTGTGAAAAATCAGAACGGGGGGGGGGGGGTAATAGGAGCCTATATAAGAAAATGACCCAAAAATCAGGACTGTCCCTATAAAATCGGGACATCTGGCCACCCTAGATCATGAGAGGCTTGCATCCCTGCAAAGCATGTCTTAACCCCACAATGCTTCTTGTAGAGGAATAGGTCTGATCCATTGGTAAGGGTGACCCCTCAAACTGTCCCCACAGCCAAGTTACATACCCTGCTCCACCTACATTTGCAGTCTGTGCGATGGCTGTGGAGTCCCTGTGTTCTCTACATGCTAAATGTTTTGTTCACAAAGGGTGAAGCTGAATGTGGGTTAAGTTGAACTAGTTGAAACTTTATTAAACCCTTTGTACTGCTCTGTCCATGTGGCTGAGCTGCTTCCAGCTTAACTTTTGTGTGTTCCCTTTTCTCCTGTTGTCCCATCAATAACAGTGCCTCCAGCCAGGGAATGTTGGCCACGGCCCCGGTGGCAACAAACTCAATGTAGTCACACTCCCCAGTGTTCTAGAGCAGTCATGTCTGTGCAGAGCGCATCACGAGATCCGGTAGCAGTACTCCGCCGCGCTGTCTAAATGAACCCTTTGATTGTAACCAGGGACTAGTGGCCCCGTCGCCCCTTCTCACTCAGCCGGAGCCTCCAGTCAGTGCCTCCTTAGTGCCCGTGCTTGGTGCCGCCTAGCAGAGGAGCTGCGGGCAAGCGCGGGACCGGTCAGAGACTGACACACGCTCCCCGACTGCCAGCAGCTCTCCTCCCTCCCGCTTCTCCAAGCGCTCCGGCTGCCTCAATCTCTGCCTCAAGCGACTGCCGCGGCACCGCGTCCGGGCGTGCGGACACGGCACCATGTGGCAGCCCCAGTATGTCACTGCCCAGCAGCGGGCCGGCTTCCGCCGATACCAGGTAACGCTGGCCGGAGAAGGAAATCCCACGTGTCCCTCCCGAGTTTGTCCCCCTCCTCCTTGGACTTCCTGGGGGAGGGAGGAAGCAAGCGACGGGGGTGCAGAAAATACATTGTTTAGCTCCCCCCCCTCCCTACCCAAAGCTGCTGCAGCCCCTGGGTGTTTTATTGATTCCGAGGATGGCTGGGGATTGGGAACTACGGGAGCCGAAAAGTTGCGGGGTGTTGGCTTCCGCGCGTGTATGTGGGTATCTGCGGTGTCTCTCCCCCCCGGCCCCCAGAAGTGAGACCCATGGCCGGGTTCTGGTCACGTTGAAGTCAACAGTTTTAGGAGCCCCAGGGCATGAATGAGAAGTCAGTACCGCTGCTCAGCTGCCAGTCCTCATGCGGTGCTGCCTGCCCTGGCCCTGCAGGGGTGTGTGATGCACAAGGTTGGGGGTGGGACCGTGGGAACAATGTGCTTCTTTCTCCTAGCATGTTACTTGGCTCTTCATTCTATGATCTCTCTCCTCCCAACTCCTTAAGGGGCCCTAGCTACCTGGTACTTTCATTTGACACCCTGGAGTGTGGGTTGGTTGGATTGTTTTTTCGTACATCAAATACAATTATTACTTGAGGGTCATTACACAGTGTTCGGGTGTCAGCGTGCTGCTGGCAGAGGTCAGTGAGAAAAGACCAAACTAGGGAAGATTGGGTGTATATGAATGTGAGCCAAGTGGAATATCAGATTCCTTTTCAGGTTCTCCTAGTCTAGGCTCAAAGCTTGGTTTCTGGTTAAAGAAAAAAAACCAAATGAATGCTTTTCCACACTGGAAAAAAATCAGACTTATTTTGCTTACTTCAGTGATCATTTAGCTATTGCAAAGTTTTAAGGATCCCTTTACGACTTTGGTTTTTTGAGTTTGAGAAAGTTGACATGTGTTGGATAAAATTATTTTATGATGTTTTTGGATGTAAATCAGTGTATTATAATTTTTATTTAAAATAAAGTTGTGTCAGCAGAATTGTTGACTGAACTAACTGTGAAGGTCAGCAAGGGGGGTTGGAACTGGATACTAATGAGGAATTGAAATGGCCCCAGGTGAATATTATTATCAGGCTTTAGAACAAAAAATCAAAAACATGGGGGAAAAAAAGTATGGGTGGAACATAGTAGGAATGATTAAAACCAAGCATTTTTGTGGGGTGGCTAGTGTAGAAGGCTGCATCATGTCAGCAGTGGTAAAGCATATTTACTGATAAAGGGAGAGACGAGATGTTGCCGGTGAGTGTATGGACCAATTATACAATTTCTGATCCAAGATAGGGACAAGAAGGTTGTTTTTCTTCGGCTATTGTGTGTGTCACGTTTTTAAAAATTGGCAGTTCATCTCTTTTGTGTGGGTGAGACTGATGTAAGAAGGCAAATCAAAAATTGGGTTGAATCCTGTGTTCCTTTGGTTGCCAGTTTGGGTCTGGAAGAAATTTTCTTGCTCTGGATATTGGCTAGAAACTTGATGTGTTTTCACTTTCTTCTGGAGTTCTGAGCAGGGATCAGGTGGGATAGTCACCACCAATTTCCTACTGTTGGTGGAAGAAATGGGGTTCAATGGGAAATGACTGCCAAAAAGGAGTACGGCGGAAAGGGATCTGGGATCACAGTAGACCACAAGCTAAATATGAGTCAAGAGTGTAACACTGTTGCAAAAAAAGCGAACATCATTCTGGGATGTATAAGAGGAGTGTAGTAAGCAAGACATAAGAAGTAATTCTTCCTCTCTACTCCACGCTGATTAGGCTTCAGTTGGAGTATTGTGTCCAGTTCTGGGTACCACATTTCAGGAAAGATGTGGACAACTTGGAGAAAGTCCAGAGAAGAGCCACCAAAATGATTAAAGATCTAGAAAATATGACCTATATGGGAAGATTGAAAAAAATTGGGTTTGTTTAGTCTGGAAAAGAGAAGACTGAAAGGGGATATGATAACAGTTTTCAAAACATAACAGGTTGTTACAAGGAGGAGGGAGAAAAATTGTTGTTCTTAACCTCTGAGGATAGGACAAGAAGCAATGGGCTTATATTGCAGCAAGGGAGGTTTAGGTTGGACATTAGGAAAAACTTCCTAACTGTCAGGATGGTTAAGCACTGGAATAAATTGCTTAGGGAGGTTGTGGAATCTCCATCATTGGAGATTTTTAAGAGCAGGTTAGACAAACACGAGTCCAGGGGACTGGACTAGATAACCTCTCGAGGTCCTTTCCAGTCCTATGATTCTATGATAACGTGTACCCTTTTCTGCAAATCTGCTTGCAGCCTCTATGAATCCTCCCTATGAATCCTGTTTCGATTATTGGTGGGTACAAGCACTCATGGGCCATCCAGAAAGTGAGCACAAATTAAAGTGGACAGCCAAAATTTGGTCCCTTATTTTTATTTTGCTCTTCCCCCACCAGAATATAATAATTCTAACAGTTATGCTAATGTTACCTTTGCTTCCCTATTCTTATCACAGTGGTCCCTTGCTTTCCCCAGGTAATTTACCAGTCTGAGTCAGCCTTTTGGTAATCCCTGTTGGGGTATCACACTGGACTAAATCTCCACAAGTCAGGAACTGTTGACCTCTTTTCCACCTCTCACCAGAGATAAGAAGTTTTCTCCTTGTCTCCAGGACCAAACTGTAGTAAATTATCCCAAGAACAGTCAAATATCCCAAAATTACAAAATTGAAAGATCAACAGGAAATCAAAGATAAATATTACAAAAAATATATGAAGGTCTAAGGCTCCCTAGTTTCCCCAGGTAGGTCTAAACCCTTTGAGTTACAAAAACAATATCAGAAAATATGGTGTTCACATTTCTAGAGGTCTATGTTTCTCTCAAGGAGTCAAGGTGCTGGTCCGATCCTCCAAACTTTAACATAGAAGAGTTTTAGCTCAGTGTGAATGGTTTCTGCCTCCTGCATGTTTGCAGGATGAATGTTTGTCATTTATATCCTTCTGGCTGACTGACAAGGCTAGGTGTGACCTTGCCATTACCAAACCAAGAATGAAAGTAGCATCCTTCTATGTTAACAGGTTCACAATAAGGTTTGATCTTATCATACATGACCTCTCCGCCCTGGCCTATGTACTCCAATTTAATGCAGTAGTCAGTTTGCTTTCCGTAGCCAACAGCTATCTTTTTTAACTACGGTACATTTTTTACCTGCTTAAGCTAAATTGAAATGACACTTTTATTCTCAGATTTGCACCAAATCAGTGACTTACCACTGAGTTAGTAATTTCCATGGAAGTTTGCGATTAGACCAAATCTGACAGAGACTATATAAACTCAGTTCACATTTTCAAGGCTAGCTTCATGACTGCAAGGCCTAGAAACATAGCTAGAAGCGTGGTCCCCTGAAGTCAATGGGAGTTGTGCCATTGACTCCAGTAGAGCCAGGATTTCACACAATGGTTTTAAAATGAAAGTTTAAATTTCAAAGCACAAGAGGTTTTAGTGTATATTTTCCCATGTAACTATACAATTCTCAGGGCCCTGATACTACATTAAATATGATTTCTTAATGGACAGTATTCAATGCATCACAGATAGTGAATGTTAATTAGCGTGGTGCCTCTGTAGACAAAATTGTTCTCCATTTGCCTTGAAATTCTATCTAAGCTATCTATCAGCTTAGCCTGTTGTGGTTATTTTTGCACAGTATCTCAGAACCAGGTTAATTAAAACTTTGATCATCTTAAACAGTGGAGAAGCCTAAGATTGTCAAACTCCCCAAAACTAACTTTTCAGTAAGAGAATTACTGCCACCTTTTAGAAACAAGACAGAGATTTAACCACCTACTGTTCTGGGAATGAAATCTTACAATTTTTTTTCACTTTACTTTGATGAATTATGTAATTAAAAGTCTAATTAGAACTCTGCTAGTGTATAATGTTCCAAATAAAATAGTAGAGTCAGTAACCTTAATTTCTATGAGGCTTTTTTAGATTATTTTTGTACAGATGTAGTAAATCAGTTGGTGAAATCCTGACCCCATTGAAGTCATTATATTTAAAGCCATATGCCAGAATTTGCACTGCATACTTATTTCTGCCCTAGTGATAACTGATGTAATGTAGTATGCAAGTAGCTGCATAATCATTAGTTTTCTTACAGACACCAAATCATATGAGAGAGCAACATAACAAAATCATTTGGCATTAGAGTGACCAGATGTCCCGATTTTATAGGGACAGTCCTGATATTCGTGGCTTTTTCTTATGTAGGTGCCTATTACTGCCCACCCCCGTCCCAATTTTTCACATTTTCTATCTGGTCACCCTATTTGGCATAGAAGTTGCAGCCAATGTCACTGATCACAGGACTTGTTCCTAATGGTGGCACTATTGTATATTCCCTTGGGGAACTCAATAAGAGCAGTGTTCTATCAGTGAATTCACAGCAGATTCTTGTTTGCTGAATCATTTCTGAGGCAAATAATTTGGGTGTAAAAGAAGCTTTTTGTTTTGCTGGTTCTCATAAAAATGCAAACAGTGACAACCTATTTTGATTGTGTCCCTTTGTTTAGAGATATCATCTCTATATAAAATGTAGAGATATATAGAGATAAAATAAATATATAAAATCTATAATAAAAAGTTTACCTGGAGTTCATTGGTAGGATAGACAAGAAATTTAATTACCACCAATTTGGTCTAGCATATGCTTGTACATGTTGGTTATTTCACATTTTTTTATTCAACTATGTTTTGATGGTAAAATAGTTTCAAAGCTATACATATGTGAAGCAGAAATGGATTATTTGTTAATATTTCTGTGGAAACTACTCACAGAGATTAGTGAAGAAAACTACTCACATGTGGTTTCTTGTACCTTCCTCTGAAATAGTACCTGCCCTTGTTGGACAGGATACTAAACTAGATGGACACCACTGTTCTGAGCCAATATGACAATTCCCATTTTCCTAAGATATCTTTAATTTGATTTTATATTGCCTGTGTTCTTTGTGGCAATGTAAAG